TAAATAATAATAATAATTTACTTATACACTTTAAATATATTAAATTAAAATTTAATAATTATATTATAATATCAATAATATATAAAAATAAAAAATAAGGAAGAACTTATAGATAGTAAATTTAAGAATTAAATTATATTTTTAGTTAAACAAGTAATTTTAAGTTTATTAACTAATTATTGTTATAATTTAAATTATTTAATTATTCAATATTTAATTTTTATCTTTGATATTTATTAAAATTACAAATTTAACTTTATTTTTATATTTATGTATATATATATATATGTATATACATGTGTGTGTATATGCTATTAAAAAATACAATAGGACAGAGGGTGAGGGCGGGGCAAGGAGTTACATACCTAAACTTGATTTCTCGAGTTTAAATCCTAAACCCTGAACTTGATTTCTCAAGTCAAGAAAAATCCTTATTCGAATCTTTATCCAACCAAAGTGAGTTTTTGCGAGACAAAATTGAGTCAGGATCAAACAAGTATTTATGAGTGCGAGTTTAGTTGTTATGTCTAATAAGGTGTTTGGTGAAAAGGATTGTAATTTGAGGTGAGTTGTTGTCTCATCAAAGAAGGAGAAAATCTAAAATGACCGTAAAGGATTGTAAAATTTGTTTTATTAAAAGATAAATATTTGCTACCTATACAAATTAAATTAAAACATATGTTTATATTAAAATATTTAATATATTTAGTACAATTTAAAAAAAACTTGGTGCCTCATCGATGATGCACTTAAGATACTACTTCATAGTAGAACGACTCCCAGGGTGTATGTTGCTACCTTAAAAGTTACTTATAAATTAAATGTATGTTATGTTAATGTACTTTTCTTAACATCATTTTAGTTTTGTTTACGATGACTTTGTTCACATGCATCATTATTCACATGCAGTATGCTCCATGTAAGTACTTGTTTAACATTTGAGATACATTACAACAACTTGTGCATTAACTTTAACATTTTTCATGTAACAAGAAAAAAAAATCTTCAAGTTGTAGGATAACTAGTGGAAAATAGACACCACCACAATATTTTTACATTAGTTGTTATTAACAAGAAAAAAATCTCCAAGTTATAGGATAATCACCGATGGAAAAGAAATATCACAACAACATTTTTATATCAATTGTTACTCCTTCCATTATGGAAACCTTTTACACATAGAATAAAGAACATTTAATTTCTATATATTTAGACTAAATTATTCTCGTTTATTAATTTACAGATTTATACAATATTTTCAACTACTGCCTATACTGCTCAAAATAACATTAATGATTCATTTAAATTAGTCCTAATTACTCAACTATACATAAGGTATAATTTAAAGAATTACATAAAAAAATATATTGAAATTCTAAAAAAACCTAAGTTTTATAATAAAATTAAAAGGCTAAAAGAAACAAATTTTCAAAACAAAGAGAGTAAATAACTAATGTAAAGAGTTATGCAGTGACATTTTCTAAATTGAGGAAAACATTTATACATCAATTATTTTTAACAATGTAAAAGAGTATATTACATTAATAAAAATTAAACTTATGTAAAAAGGAACATTTTATATTAATTAAATATTGAATCGATGTAAAATGTTATTTTAAATTTTAAAATGTGAGCTTCACTCTCATATTGTGAATTGTTGTTATTGGTGACACCACACCTTTTTCAATGTCATCGTGTTTTCTTATCTTATTTTTGACAACAACAAAGGTGTATTGAGCAATCCCAAGCATTACACGATCTCAACAACGTTGTTGTTGGAAGTCCTTGGCTTTCTTTGTCATCGATGTCATTGTTGTCGATCATTAAGTATGTTCCCCCCTTGTTTTTTTTCCTGCATTTTTTCCCATTATATACATTTTTGTGTTGTTATCGTGTCTTGATTTATGTGATATGTCAATGAAGTTTGTTTTATGAGTAAAAATGATAGACTGAAGATATTAGTGGAAAGCAAATGAGATGTTGGAGATTTTCAAATTAGGTATCTTTGTCCACTTAGTGGTTAGTTGAAAATTAACCGTACCTAATTTGAGAAGAACTTTACTTACTGAGGGTCAGTAGAGGTCTGTTAGATGATTTTCACCTTTGGCATTAAGGGATCTCTTGAGTAGGTATGTTCACCAAAGTAGGATTTTATGACTGTAAGGGGTAACGAACTTATGTCATTGAAAACGTAAACTCATACCGAATCCTATACCATTTGTGTCAACTCATGATGGCACATATATTAAAATGTAATAAAAATATGAATTTAGAAAGAAAAAATTAAGTCTTTATTTTTTTTTATTTCTAAATTTTATTATGTGCGTTAATGTTTTATTGGTACTTTGAGGAAAATAAGGCAAACGAAAAGATACAAAGCAGAAAAGAAACTAAACTACTCCAAGCATAATTTTTCCAAATTCTTCATGTGCAAAGTCTAAAGGTGAGTTTCAAGAGATGTCACAAGCCTTATTATTGGTCCCCCATTTTGCAATGATATTAGCCAACGAGTTGGGTTCCTTGGGAACTACTAGCCAAGTAATTCTCCATTGTTTATTTATCAGATATCTGATTCTTATAATGAGCTCAATGCGAGTATACCACTTCCTTTTGATTTCATCTTCCTCTTGTATTGCTCTAACAACATTAATACAGTCTGTTTCAATGAAGTTATCCTCAAACCTAGCTTATAACAGTGGATAAGAACATGCATATAGGCTTGCAACTCAACTTGTAGTGGATCACATCCCATATTGGAATGAGTGCAACCTGATATCCAGTTGTCAACTTTGTCCCTAACCACACCTCCAAATCTCATAACATTTTCAACCTTTCTCCAACTCCCATCAATGTTCACTTTCTTCATTGATGTAGGGGGAGGCACTGGTGAGGGATATCTCTTGAGATTGAGAGGCCTTTTTGATGGATTTTGTTGACAGTTGTTGATATTACAATCACATGACAAACTTGTTGAATGTGTTTTAATGTTTGAAAAAGTAATTTATAAAAAAATAATAAATAAAATTTGAAATAAATACATAATTGATAATTCTCCTTTATTAATAGTTGATAAAAATAAAAGACTACTCATAAAAGGATAAATTTTAAGAATTAATTGAGATGAAATTGAAATCAACACATTTATATGCAAAACGTTATGAAGTTCAAGGATCAATCGAAACACAATCTAAGTTTAAGATTTTTATTTACAAGTTATAAAAAAAAGATTTATGAAAGAGTAAAATTTAAGGATAAATCTATGAATATTAATAAACGAAATACCTTTTTTAATAAATGTTTTCGTCTCCAATTTTTTTTACCATTTTCTACACTCAATTGTACAACAACTCCTTTACAACAATATATTCGTAAAGGATAATATATATATATATATATATATATATGAGAGACTCACTTATTTTAAGATTAAATCTACCTATATTTACTTTATTCAGTAACTTATTTAAAATTTTGAAAAATATTTAATATTCCATTTTGTTAACAAATCAATGTATAAATTTTATACAAAAAAAATAAATGCAAAAAATACTTTTATAAATATTCGTCAATTTAAATTAATGAAACAAGGTATTAAATATTTTAAAAAAATTATAGACTTGATATATATATTAATAACTCTTGATTTAAGGGTTTGATCATAAAAATTTAATGCAGAATATCAATTATTAAGTGAATGAAAACTAAGTAATTTTACTATTAGAAGAGATGAGTCCATCCTCTTATTTATATATATATATATAT